CCCCCGACAGGCACAGGGCCGCCGGTGTCCAGGCTACCGTCACTGGGTCGTGTTTGGTCGCTCCGTCCCCCGCTGGCTCCCTGCTCAGCACCAGCCCCGGAGCTCACAGCTCGGTTCTGCTGCACTGTAGTCAACCATATCCCGGACTATTTTTGAAATCCCCCCGGACATTTTTTAAAAGTATAAAAAGCAGGACGTATCTGGGAAAAAATGGGATCTGTCTGGTCACCCTACCATATCAACAATCTCAATGTTTCAGTGAGTGAGTGCTTGTTCCTACAGTATGATGAATCTTTGCTAAGCAGCTTCTCTTTTTGTAAACCTAGCAATCATTAAAGGAAGAAAACCTGTCATTTCATTCTGGGCCTTTTAACCAGGCTTTCATTAGGCTCATAGAACAGCAAATATGCCATTTTCAGCCCAACCAATGTTATACACCCTATTCAGATACCTTAAGGACCAGCATCAAATACCCTCTATAATCATTCCTTGACCCCGTTAATACCTCCCTCCAAAGAAATCCTGATTTTAACCCTTCCTTTCAAAAGAGTGGACATTCTCTCTGATGTACTCCAAGCACACAAACACAAAAAAATTGTCATTTAGCAACAAAACAATCATGATTTTATCGGCATTTTAAGTTTCAGAGTCCCTGTTTCACCGACCCTCTGTTTACTTGGCCATGTCATTAGAGTGGATTTTTTTCCAGTTAAATCTATAATCCAATACTTGTTTATCTCTATATCACCATGAAAACAATTCTTAACTGCAAATCAAAGAAGTCACTACATAGTAACACCTGGATAACACTGTTACTAAATATATACATCTGGAAAGCATCTAATTTGGAGAAAAAGACAGTATTACTGTATTCATAAATGTTTGGAACACATTATTAAAATCCCAATAAATAAATTACACCTTGGGGCCATGCCACGCACATTTTAAAAATCTGATATTAAGATATCTACCTTTAATAAACAAGGGGGTATTCACTCGCATTTCTTTACTGACTTATGTTATTAACCTATTTATTATCAAATAACTGTTTTTCTGAAGCAGTTTCTAGATAGTGACTGCATAATAGGTTAGTGCCTAACTTCACACATACACAAACATGAAATACAGGCATACCCCCGATCACACGACTGATATTCGTCACATAACCCAAGCTGAATTGGATTTAGAGACCAGAATGTATTGCTTACTCATAGACTGTGGTCACCTCGCATGATAAATCTGACAACCATAGATGTTATATTTAAAAGTCAGCTACAGAGTGTTTATTTTTCTTCCTTCTGATGTTCAAGCACACACATTCTGGACATGCTTTTATTTAAGTGGAGCAGCAGACCTTTAGCCAGTGTCTGGTAAAGTGACAGTAAATTCCTCTAGATCTAAATGTATTAGCCCTTCATTTGAGGAGGTAAGTAAAATCATCTGCCTATGGAATAAGTATTTTTGATACTTTAACAAGATTATTTTATATACTGTGCTTGAGATAATAGAGAGTTCTTCTTCTTTCTTATTTTTAATGAAAAAATCGTATCACTCCATTTACAGATCATTTTACTTACCCTTTCGAATCAAGTGCAAATACACTTAATTCATACACTGTAAAAACTATCTAGAAATAAGAAAAAATTCCTTAAATTAAGTCTTTTTACTCTTAATTTGAGTAGGTAAATGAGATGGTTTGCCAATGGAATGAGTATTTTTACTCTTAAAATAAGATAAATAGATTATATGCACTTGAAATATGCAATTGATATTTCTTATTTTAAGTGTAAATTGTCTTGTTCCATTGGCAAAATGTCTCTTTTACCTCCTTAATCCAAGAACAAATGCACTTATTTTAAGAAAAATTGACTTATCTAGATTTAATTTTTTTCCAGTGTAAACATTTTACATATTTTTGGTTCACTTCTCGGAGCGCAGAACTGCCTCCAATTAATTTTCACAAATTAGGCTTTCAAAAGTTTATCAAACCATGACATCATCTGGCCATAAAATCTGATTAACTGTGAAAGGGTTCCAGTTTTGGGTTGATTTACTATTTGATAGCAGCAAAAAAAACGGCTAAAAATATATAGTCGCTGTTTGCACAGTGATAGAATGGTATGGAAACATACTCTTACATATTAATTAGCATAGCCCCTGTTTAAATTAAAGCAGTTTTGTGAAGATATAATCTGGAAAAACCAACATTTAAATGTCCAGTACTGTGTGATCGCTTAGCCAAGACATTTTTCAGTGTCTCTCAGTTTTCCGGTTGAAAGATGGCAGCTTTTTAGTTTGCCACATTTCATCTCACTTTTCAGCATTAGATAACCATGGAGAAAAAGACATAAAAGTCATGGTAAAGTAAAAAACCCATGACCTATAGGCCCACGTTTTTAGGGACACATTTCTTCTGTTTTTGCTGCTAAGATGACATAAGCTCCACACTGAAGCTTCCAGATCATATAACATTTTCCCCCTTTTTTAATGTGTGTTCACTATTATTACAGTAAATATGGTTATATTGATAAAAACAAGACTAAGACGAAATGCAAGAGATGCACATTTTTTATTAGACTGGTTTGATAAGTTTCTAATGTATGAATAAAAAGGGTAACTCTAAATCTGGGAAGAAACAGTCTGGTGACTCTCACATGACAACTGTAGTGTTCTAGACGCCAACATGTGAACTCAAAGCATGGAGAAAGTGTGAAAAACCACTAAGTTATTAGAAACAAGCTTTCTAACTTTTCAGACTAAAAAGCTGGTAGCAGGAAAGGCTTTTGCTCAGTTAAGTTTGGTGATTAGAGAGGTATCTTCTCTGGATTACAGCTTTGGTTCCTTTGGTCTTTAGTTTGTTTTGGGCTCCAAAAGGTGGCCTAAAAAGAGCGGGTGAAAATTCAGCGGTTAATTTTTTTTTCTAAAGGTGCTATATCTTTTAAAGCTATCGTTCTAAACTGCAAAATTGTAAAAACTGGGATTAAAGGTAGCAAATGAATAGAGAACCAGAGGAGTCGATCAAGAAAAACAACCATTTCAAACTATTAAATAATAGATCCTGCAAAACATTTCTATTTTCTTTGTCCCCTTGCATTTTCAAATTCCTTTTGCAAAAACATATTTTTGATTGACTCTTTTACTAAGTTAGTATTAGAGTAACCCAACAATAGCTCAATAACAAGTTAGTTACAACTTAGTTACAGTTTAGTTACAGTATATTAGGAGTTTAGTGTCGACGTATCAATGGTAAAGTTCTCGATTAACAGTTTATTTCAGTTTGATAACAAGCATTTAACCTCTTTAAATAGGTTAAAAGCTTATTAATAGTTTGAGAACAGCTTATTTTATAAACAATGTAGCTATGGATTATTAACAGTACCGTTTATTAACAAGGTTACGCCAAAGTTAAATGAATAAGGAAAACCATTAGGAGAATGCAGAGGGACCAGTTAATAAAAGGAGAGAGAAAAAAATGTAATTGAAGAAATTATTTGAAAAGGTGAAAAGAAATAAGAAAAGGATTAAAAGGATTTCCCTCTTTAACTGGGCAACAAAGAAAGGCATGTGTAATCAGAATTATAAATTGTGGTTTTAAATTGTACATTTAGGCAAAAAAAATTTGAAAATTAACTTATCGATTGCAATATCTATAACTGGATATTAAAAAATACAATTTACATTCCTCTCTCACAATTTAACTGAAAGGGGGCAATGCCGTAATTATCGGTAAGCAGAGGCAGCAGTTGCTTATGGGCCCTAGACTTCTTAGGGGCCCCATCATTGACACCTGACAGGCCCCCAACTTATTTGTCAACTAGGTCGTCTCTTTGCAGATGTAATGGTGCAAAAAATTCCTCTTAAACCCAATGTATTTGAGTATTTTATTTTTTACACTACGACTTGGAATTATGTGTAATCCAGAGCGCAGATTAAAACCATAATCGTTACGGACAGTCGGCCTCGGCAGATGGCGGCTCACACTGAGCCTGCTTCTGCTGGAGGTTTCTTCCTGTTAAAAGGGAGTTTTTCCTCTCCACTGTCGCTACAAGCATGCTCAGTGTGAGGGATTGCATCCGCGTCAATGGGTCGATGCAATCAACTGGTTTTCTTTAGATAGAAAACTCTGAATTAATTTGACTGTATGATCTGGTGAGCTGTACAGTGCCTTGAGATGACATGTGTTGCGAATTGGCGCTATAGAAATATACTGAAATGAATTGACATTACAATGTGTTAGCGACAATGGATCCCAAAAAGAGGTACTTAAGCAGATTCCAGAAAAGAAAAAGGAAAGAAGAACCATATCTTGAACCTTTATCACGTGTTGTACTTCATTGGGGCCCACCCAGGTAATGTTCTTTACGGGCCTATTGTTCTATTGTTACACCATTGAAAGTGGGGCATTACAAAAATGCTTTTAAAATTAGATGTTTATTCTATAATTTAAACATTTCATTTGGAAACTGATTATTTTCTTTTGAGTGACACTCTTGTTATGAAATAAAAGTTATATTTACGAGCAATAAACTACTACGATATAAAACCAAAATCATAAAATTCAATATCATGACTTTTTACAACAATTATGGTTAAAGGTTTTAAAAAATAAGCTTTAAAGTCAAAAATATTAAATTAAAAACTCATGATTAGGGTCAAATAAGGGTTAAATTAGATTTAGGAGGGGGGGGGGGGAATCCTAAATCTAACCTTTTAAAATAACAGGAGCTTTCTTGCTCCTAATTATGACTTTTAACATCATAATTTCAACTACTAAGAATCCCTTATGATATACAATACAGCAGTTTGTTTTTTCTTTGAAGTGGGAGAAAAGGAGTCCTTTAGAGAAAACTGGGATAAATTACATGGAAGAAAAATGTGAACAAAGATCTCTTCACTTTTTAACTAAAGCGTGTAAACAGTTTGCTGTGGTTAAATCACGGTTCAGTCCTGCTTTTATAACCGTGTAGCCATGTGAGCTTATTTACGCCCATAAATGAGCCAATGGCGGACAGCCTGAGTCACTGACAGGTCTGACAGCAGACAGCTGGGTTTTATTCTCCATCCTCAGCTCTGCCTCTGCAGCCAACATGGCCGAATCCACTGGGAACGACAAGGCAGCGGTGCGCATCGGATATATAACCCGAGTCCAGAGCTTCAGCGCCTGCCACAGACTCCACAGGTACTCTACACACTGCTACCAACGTTTCTTTTTTTTAACGCCAGAGAAAAGACGGGCTGAAATAAAACAGCGCTGCTTTTTCCTGAAATGCACGAGGGGAAACAAACGTCACGTTTAAACTTCACGTTACGTAATATGGGTAGAAATCAAATACGATGGATTTGTGAATACATTGACAGTTATGGGTTACAGAAAGAAAGAGCATATATGAGCAAGCTCTTCTGGGACTTGTAGTTTTTATTTGATTTACGGAGCTTTAATGACGCTGGAAGCTCGATCCGTTCTGCGCATGCGCATCCAGATAAACACCTGGGTCGTCCTCGATTGTATTGTTAAATATACCTAAATGACGTTTTCCCTCACCCAAAATAGTAAATGTGCTAAAATATAATATCTTAAATGTTAATAATCTCTTTTTTGTGTGAAAATAAATGCCTTAAAATCCTTTATTTTATCAGTCGTCTCTGCCCGATCTGCACCGGAAATGGGATCAAACGCAACTTCCGGTGGTTAACTTTTTCGGTCTTTGGATTAACACATAAATCTAGTCTTTTTGAGTTTTATGTTTTCGTTTCGTTTAACCTTATTGTATATAGTGCGTTTTCTATAGAAAGAAACAACTAAAATGCAGATAAACATGGTTTAATAATATTTTGGATGGAGAAAATGTAAAAAGCATAAAAATTGTCTCAAAAAACTCATAACACATTTTTTACATATGTGTATTAGTTTTCTATAGTGAGTTACGGATAGAAATAAGTAATTTTAGTTGCATAATGACATTATTTATGGACACATTTTTTTTTTTCCACTTAAAGTCAACAATAATATATAAAACATATAATTTTTTACATATGTGTATTAGTTTTCTATAGTGAGTTACGGATAGAAATAAGTAATTTTAGTTCCATAATGACATTATTTATGGACACATTTTTTTTTTTCCACTTAAAGTCAACAATAATATATAAAACATATAAGTAAACAAATATGCCAGGGGGTATGTTACAAAAAAATAATAAAATCAGGTGGAAAGACAAACAGATTGACAAACATATGCGCTGGGGAGTGTCATTTGTGCATATGTATGTATACATATATACATGTATATATTCTACAAATAATATTTAGGACACATTATTTATGGACTCGTGTTTCCGGGACAGATTGGGTAGTGACAGATGTGTCGTTAATTGTGTCGGAAAAATACATTTTATTTGTGGAGTAATTACAGAAAGCCTCAGTCATAAAACTAACATATTCAATTGCAAATACATAAACATTTTTGTGAAATAAAAATTTTTAAGCTGTAAAATGACAGTTTTTTTAGGCTTTACAAAAGTTTTATTGTAGTTTAAAACTGCCTAATTTAGTGTTTAGTGACACATCTAGTTACATTGCATTGCTTTTGTGTGTGTGTGTGTGTGTGTGTGTTATATTAGAAATAAGTATTAGTATTACCCTCTAGTAGTTTTAAATCTGACCATATGTTATCCTTAAAGGCAGCATTTTTCAACTGGATTATTTTTATGGAGTACACTGCAAAAACAATCTAGAAATAACTACAAATTGTCTTAAATTAAGTGAATTTGTCCTTAATTTGAGTAGGTACAGTACATAAGATGATCTGCCAATGGAATAACACTGTTTACTCTTAAAATAAGATAATTAGAGAATATGCTCTTGAAATAAGACACAGCTATTTTTTTTTACTTATTTTAAGTGTAAATTGTCTTGTTCCACTGGCAAAGTGCCTCACTTACCTCCTCAATTCAAGAAAAAATGTTACTTATTTTAAGAAAAAATTACTTACCGGTATTTAGATTTAAGTTTCTTGCAGTTTATGGATGGAGTATGGATTCTTTCTAATATGCATATTCTGAATCATTTTTAAGTGATTACGTTGCACTATGTGGAATGTGCTTTTATGCAATAATGTCAATAACCCCTGCCCATGTGTTTTTTGTTTGACCTGTGCTATCAGAGCACAAAAACCCTACTGTAAAAGCTGAAAAGAATCAGATTCCAACGAGCTGTTGTTCATATATTTTCTGCAACTTTTTCCAGTCTTCACCTGAGTGATGAGGAGAATAAAGAAGTTTACGGAAAGTGCAACAATCCCTATGGTCATGGACACAACTACAAAGGTTTGCTTAGCTTCCTCACTCCTAGACTGTTACATAATCCATACATAGTTTCACATTAAGCCAACTCTGTTTTCTCCGTTTCACTTGACTATTGTCCTTTTACTCCACAGTGGAGGTGACTGTGCGTGGAAAAGTTAGTATCAAACAAGTATTTCTATAAAAATCAGAGTAAACTGAAACTGATTTTAAAAAAGTATCCTGGAAATGTGTTTGCAGATTGATCCTGTAACCGGCATGGTCATGAACCTGACGGACCTAAAGAGGTGTATTGAGGTAAGCCTATCCTAAACACACTCTCCTCACTCAAAATGGAAAGACATTGATACATTTTATCTCCATTTATTTTTTATTACAATTTGTCAATTGGCTTTTTTTTTTTTTTTTTTTTCTTTACAATTTGCCAATAGATATCAGTTATATCAGATTACATGCTTTATGTAAAAGATATTTTAAGGCACCTTTTTCTATCAGACTTTTGATCAACTAATCAAAAAAGAAATCAACACATTTATTTATTAGCCAAATAAGCGTTAGTTGCAGCTCTAGATAGAATATTCCCTGCTAAGATGCTAAGGAAAATGGTTGGTGCACTGTAATTGCAAAAAAAGAATAGAAGGTTTTGGAAAACATGGGTTAAGCACAATTAATCCATTTATGAATATGTTGAAAATATCAGAGGATTTACACTCCTCCAATCATCATAAAGACTGAAAATGTCACACTGGACCCCAAACTTGGATTCTGTTCTTCTCCAGACTCAGGAACCTTGATTTCCAAATAATAATAAATATATAATAAATATAAAATAAATACAAAATGAACCTTTATCTGAAAAGAGGACTTTGGACGATTTAACAGTTATTTCCCAGTCAGCTCTTGGATGGGATTTTCTTTATAAGGATTTTAGAGGCAGCTTTTGCCTGTGCAACATTTCCCCCCCATCATATTCTCATATACTTGGATTTTTAACAAGACATAATTGGCTACAGGGCTGCTCAGTGACACAGTGGGTAGCACTGCTGCCTTGGAAATCTTTTCTGATGCTTTTTTCTTTTTAACCCATGTGGCTTAAAGATCTCCTCTCAGCCGCTTAGCAAGCAGGGAAATGGAAGGTCTGGAAGTGAAACTTAAAT